ATGGAGTTTTAGTACAATTATATGGGGCACTGGTGAGACCATGTCTGGAAAATTACTAATGGAAGGAAGTAAACATTGGAATCAGTTCAGAGAAGGTTCATTTGACTGGCTCCTGGGATGAAGGGTTTGTCTTATGAGGAATGGTTAGACAGGGTGAGTCTATATCCACTGGAGTTTAGAAGCATTTTTTTTTATTCATTTGTGGGATGTGGGCATCGCTGGCTGGCCGGCATTTCTTGCCCATCTCTAGTTGCCCTTGAGAAGGAGTGGTGAGCTGCCTTTTTGAACCACTGCAGTCCTCTTGCTGTGGGTTGATCCACAGTGCTATTAGGGAGGCAATTCCAGGATTTTGACCCAGCGACAGTGAAGGAACGGCGATATATTTCCATGTCAGGATGATGAGTGACTTGGAGGTGATGGTGTTCCCATATATCTGCTTCCCTTGTCCTTCTAGATGGACGTGGTCATAGGTTTGGAAGGTGTTGTCTGAGGATCTTTGGTGAATTTCTGCAGTGCATCGTGTAGATAGTACACACTGCTGCTACTGAGCGTCGGTGGTGGAGGGAGTGGATGCTTGTGGATGTAGTGCCAATCAAGTGGGCTGCTTTGCCCTGGATGGTCAAGCTTCTTGAGTGTTGTTGGGGCTGCACTCATCCAGGCAAGTGGGGAGTATTCCATCACACTCCTGACTTGTACCTTGTAGATAGTCACTCGCTGCAGTATTCCCAGCCACTCTGTTTATGTGGTGAGTCCAGTTGAGTTTCTGGTCAATGATAACACCCAGGATGTTGATAGTGGGGGATTCAGTTATGGTAACACCATTGAATGTCAAGGGGTGGTGGTTAGATTGTTTCTTATTGGTGATGGTCATAGCCTGGCATTTGTGTGGCGCGAATGTCACTTGCCACTTGTCAGCCCAAACCTGGATATTGTCCAGATGTTGTTGCATTTGAACACGGACTGCTTCAGTATCTGAGGAGTCACAAGTGGTGCTGAACATTGTGCAATCATCGGCGAACATCCTCATTTCTGATCTTATGATGGAGGGAAGATCATTGATGAAGCAGCTGAAGATGGTTGGGCCTAGGACACTACCCTGAGGAACTCCTGCAGAGATGTCCTGGAGCTGGGATGATTGACCTCCCACAACCACGACCATCTTCCTATGTGTCAGTTATGACTCCAACCACCGGAACATTTGCCCCCTGATACCCATTGATTCCAGTTTTGCCAGGGCTCCTTGATGCTACACTCGGTCGAATGCAGCCTTGATATCAAGGGCTGTCACTCTCACCTCACCTCTGGAATTCAGTTCTTTTGTTTGAACCAAGGCTGTAATGAGGTCAGGAGCTGAGTGACCCTGGCGGAGCCCAAACTGGGCGTCACTGAGCAGGTTATTTCTGAGCAGGTGCTGCTTGATAGCACTGTTGATGACACCTTCCATCATTTTGTAGACATTGAGTAGACATTGAAAAATATAAGACCCTGACAGAGTGTTTGACAAGGTGTTTGCTGAAAAGATGTTTCTCCTTGTCTGAGAGACTAGAACTAGGGGACACTGTTTAAAAATAATGGGTTATTTAAAAATAACATTTATGATGGATATAAAGAGACGTTATTTCCTCTCTGAGGGTCAAGAGGTGATGGGACTCTCTTTCACAGAAAGTAGTGAATTCAGGCAGGAGTAGATAGATTTTTGATGGATAGGAAATCAGAAAGTATAAGGGGTAGGCAAAAAAGTGTAGTAGTAGCCATATTTAGATCAGCTATGATTTTATCAAATAGTGGAACAAGTTCAAGGAGATGAATAACCTACTCCACTCTTGGTTCTCACATCGCATTGATGGACTTAAATTGTCATGCTTGCTCTATTGTGATGTGACTTGAGGCCCATCATCTGAGAGTCATGCAGTAATGGATTCATAGAGTCATACAGCATGGAAACAGACCCTTCAACCCAACTCATCCATGCCAACCAGGTTTCCTAAACTGAACTAGTCCCAATTGTTGCTATTCAGGATGAAAGAATGAACCCTGTGCCCCTGACTCCACTGGATTTTGTGTCACTGAGTTGGATTTTACTTCAAAAGTAGTTTATTCGCTGTGGATTCTTTGGAACATCCTCAGGACTTGGAAAGCACTATTAAATGCAAGACTTTCTTAATTTTATGCATTTTCATATCTGTTAAATTAAAATTGTCCATTACACCCACACGATATACTCTGCCCTTATTTGATTTGAAAATTTCCATGTCTAGTCTTTCTCCTTTCCTGTCTTATTAGATAAGACGCATATCTCTTACCCCAACTTACAGGGCTCCAACTCATCAGAACTAGACCAGTTGTTCCCAACTCGTTTTGATCAAACATTTTCCAGCTAAATGGCTGTACTTCCAGCCAGATTGTCCTTTCGGTGCTTGTGAAGTATTAGGTATCACTATATATTTACTCCACCTTATCTCTGTGATACCGAATATACCACAGTCTCTCTCTCTCTCTGTCGAGCATGAATCTTCAGGAACCCAATTTATTCCAAAGAAATATTCAGATATAAAACTAACACACAACACATTTATCTACCTTAGCATTATAATGTGCAAATTTGGGCTGTGTCACTCTGTCTTTGAATGCTGTCTGACCGCACCTGTTCACTTCTATTAGACCAGCTTCTCTAACCTCCATCACTCTTTATCATTCCTTCCCTCTGCTGTTATTTTTATTTAATTTGCTAATTTAAATGAAAATTGCCTTGAGATGTGACAGTGCTGTGAAAAAAATTCTTTTGAAGGACCACGCTGGATGCTGGAACATGGTTACATAGTGATAGGTTCAGTTTAATTGAAAGGAGGTTTCTAATCTCAGTTACAATGCTATGGGTAGGCTATGTGATAGGACATTTAATGACAAGGGGAGATGTGCAATACTGCTCCCATTGGTCCATCCGGTGGACCATTCTGAGTGGGAGTAATGAAATCTGGATGGTAAGGAACCATCCACTCAGTGAAAGACGCCCTTTTGTCTGCCCAAAACGTTTTGGTCTTCCAGAACAAGGAGTCGACCCTGACCAAATAATGCAGACTGGCACCTTCCAAGGTCCAGGACCAATTGCTGAGGGATCCACTGAAGCTCGGGGTAGCTGCGGCCAAGGCGCAGTGGGGCAAGACCGCTGTCTAAGGTCTTTCGGCGAAGTTAAATGGGGTCAGTTCAGTTATTGGACCCTCCCGTGCCTCAAATGCATGTAAATATAGTCTTGTACAAGTAAGAGATGCCTTTGGTTTGTTTGTTGGATACAATCAAACTCCAGTATTTGTTTGTTTCCTTAATATGCTACTGTACAGAACTGAGCTGCATTTGCAACTATGTGTATATACATAAAGATATTTTTATGAATAAAGTTTTGAAGTTAAAGAAGGTAAGATGATCAGTAACCATGATCAAACCAAATATTCATGCCATTTCTCTTTAATGTAAGACCAAGGGCTGAAGTTTGCTACAAGCATGGCAAACCAAGCCTCAAGATCGATCCTGTGCCCTAATCCCACACAGTTCCAACCATTTTCATGCCTGCTCCCTGACTTTGTTGGCAGCAGCCAATTAATGAACCAAGTCCTCTGTTCAGCCAAGGGTGGTGGGCAGACTGCTATGTGACTGACATGAATGTGGCAGCTCCACTATGAAGGATCTGTGGTTCTGATCAAATGGAGCAGGAGATGGTAGTACAAGATATAGGCCATTTTTTGTTCTGTGATGAAATATGGGTGTCATTGGCAAGGCCAGCATTTGTTTCTCATCTCTCATACTATACCATTGTAGAGGTTTTTTTCATTTGTTCACTGGATGTGGTATCATTGGCTAGATCAGCATTTATTTACCATCTCTAATTGCCCAGAACACAGTTAGGAGTCAACAACGTTGTGGACCTGGAATCACACATTAGCCAGACCAGTTAAGAATGGCAGATTTACTTCCCTAAAGGCCATAGGTTTTTGTAACAGATGTCATCATTGGCCTATCTTATTTTTGAATACAAATGTCAATATCTGCCAGGGTAGGATTTAAAGCCCTGCCTCCAGAACGTTAACCTGATATTCTGGATTACTACTCAGTGACATTACCACTACACCAGCACCTCTGAATGTTAAGAGGTAACCACATTGCTGTGGATCCAGAGAGACATATGGGTCAGTTCCATAAGGATGGCAGATTTCTATCCCTGAAGGACATTAGTGGAGTTTAAATACCAGTCGCTAACACTGTCAAGGCCACCATTACTGAGACTAACTTTATTGTTGTTAGAAATAATGTTGCTGTAACCATTGAATTCCCACCTCCACAAAGCTGGTCTGGAGGCAGAAAGCCAGTTGCACATTTCTATTCTAAATTACCCAGGATTCCCCTACCTCCAGAGAAATGTGTCTGGGAACATTCTGCCCCAAGAACATTGGCTAGAGCACTCTCAATCTCTATCACTCAAAATCTAAGTTTTACTATTTGGATACTGATCCATCGCTAACATGTACTTTTTCTTAAGTTACATACAACACAGCTCCCCTCAGTGAGGCTGTTGAGGATGAAATCAAGCTTTTGAAATATCCCATGTTGGTTTCCCAAACATACAACTTAAGGATATGAGAATAAATTATAAAAATGAAATTGTGGATGTTTGGAATTGCTTCCCTTTTTTTTGCCGTAGTCCTACTGGGCAACAGGGCTTCTGTCTCAGAGAGAAAGGTGGGTGGCTTAACCTGAGGAGGGAGGCTGAGGAGGAGAGTCATTCATAACAATGTCAGCTGAAGTGGGAATTGAACCCATGTGGTTGGTATCATTCTGTATCGCAAACTGGCTGTCCAGCTAATCAAACCCCCATATAATTATTGGAATTGGTAATATGGAAGTGCTTAAAATGTACATGTAAATTAATCTCATGTGTGTTATTTTCATACTGTTAAATGTTAAGATACCATTAGGATTTAAACATTCATGTTCACTCTTTAACACAGGGGAGTAAGGAGCGATACCACTGGCAGAGCCACAATGTCAAACAGAGTGGAGTGGATGACATGGTTCTTCTGTCTAAAATCACAGAGGAAGCTATTGTGGAAAACCTTAAGAAACGCTACTTGGATGATTACATTTTCGTATCCTTTCAATTCAGTAAAACATTGAATTTCTACTTGAAAACTATTGGCTGCTTTGTACAACTGTGCAACTACAGGTAACGTAGGTGACAGGTACAGTTCGATGTAGAAAATAATAAAGCATTATATTTTGGAGTAAGAATGGAGGTGGAGTGGGCAAAATACACAATGCATCTAGATTGGCCTTTCAATGAAGTGTGAAAATTGTTCTCTTCAACTTCTCTGTAAAAATAGAGCTGAGCACATTTTGGTAAGAGCATGTTAAGCATTTAAATGATATAATCAGAGAGTATTTTATAATCTTTCCTTATGTCGGATCTATTGTGACAAAAGATTACAAAAATCCACACTAGAACATACAGTTAGTTTAAAATAATAGCAAACTGGAAGCAAACATTGAATTTGCTGGAAAAGCTCAGCAGGTCTGGCAGCATCTGTGGAGAGAAATCAGAGTTAACGTGTCGAGTCGAGTGACCCTTCCTCAAACCCCAGTCACTCGACCTGAAACGTTAACTCTGATTTC